TTGAGGTGGGGAGGGTTAGAGTATCACACAACTTTTAAAAGTTGTGCATCTTCCTGTTTTCATTCTCTGCTTTGGACACTGTCACAGGCCACTTCTCTTCCCAAACGATTATCTATCCCACTGCCCCTTCTATACCCACCTTGAGAGGCAAAGGGCAGACTCCTCCCACAATCTCCCACCCAGCCTCCTTCCTGACATTACACTTAAAGTCAGAGACACCCAGGGGCCAAGGACACTTCATTTGCAGAGCCCCTTACTTGCATGGCTCCTTCGAAGCCCAAGAAAGTGTTCAAGAGGTCATTTGATAACTAGGGGGTATGTATAAAATAGACTTGGGGGTAAATCCAGGTTTCATAGGGCCTGGACTTATTCATTTGGGGCGGGGAGGGAGCATCTTCAAGAAAAAGAAGATAAAAGATCTTTTTAAAATCTTGGATCTACCTATGCCTGCAATCTAAATTTCTTTCATACATAACCCCTATTTACATTATCCTTCACCCATTATACCACCTTTCTAAACACCCCAAGGGGGAGATGAAGAGACAATGTATAGGGGATCAAGAGCCGTTCTGGTGGAGAAGACCTGTGGGTGGTGAGAGGGTGGCTAAGGAGATAGGGGTGAATAGGGAACTGGTACAGGTTACAGGGGAAGGGGACTGGCTGAGCCTGCGGGCACAGTGCATGCATGTACTAATGGGGAGGCATTATGCCCACACCAGGTTTTGGCGTACATCAGTGGGAGCACGTCAAGCAAACCCGGAGTATCCCTGGTCTACTCCATGCCCTCCCGGAATGTGTCCCTGCGGCTGCAGGGCCTCCAGGAGAAAGACTCCGGGTCCTACCGCTGCTCTGTGAATGTGCAAGACAATCAAGGCATGAACAGGGGCCACAGCAGCAAGACTTTAGAACTCAGTGTACTGGGTAAGTGAGAAGCACCCACTTTCCAGTACCTCCCCACTCCCACGGGAGGTCAGGCAGGTCTCTCCCCCATATGACTGAGCGTGGAGATGGGAGGAGGGGCAAATGGAGTGACAGAGGGTATGTGTGTGGGAGTTGGGGGAGGGTGTGTCTGTTGGTCTCTTGGGTGTGAGTTTTTAACCAGTGTCCCCTCCCCTAGTTCCACCAGCTCCTCCATCCTGCCACCTACTGGGAGTGCCCCGTGTGGGGACCAATGTGACCCTGAGCTGCCAGTCCCCGAGGAGTAAGCCTGCTGCTCGATACCAGTGGGAGCGGCCGCCCCCATCTCCCCAGGTTTTCTTTGCACCAGTTTTAGGTGAGGAACTTCCGGAGACAGCTGAGACTCTAGCTGGGGTAGGGGATGAAGAGAGGTACCAGAGGGACTGGGGTGAAAAGGGAAGGCAATGCTGAAAGGTACTGGGGAGGATGGGGATGGGGGCGTGGAGAAAGAGCTTGCATGCAGGTGTTGGGTGCTTTCATGGTGCTGTGTAACCATGCTACTAAACCGGGCTCTGGAGCTGGCGAGTCTGCATTCACATTCCAGCTGTGCTGCTCACTAGCTGTGTGACTTGGTGCCTATGTTTCCTCATTTGTAAAACCGGGATATCAGGAGCCCTGATTTGAACACACCAACTATAAAAGTCATTTGGGGCAATTGGAACATTTCTTTTTCAATTTTAATGAGATATAATTGATGGAACATTTTTAGTTTGGAGTATTAGATTCTTTTAGAGAATTATTCATTTATCAGGTATGGCAATGGTATTGTGGCTATGTGGGGCAGTGTCCTTATTTTTATTTTTATTTTTTGGGAGGGAGGGGATTCATGCTTAAGTATTTATTTTAAAATATCCCAGAAAAAAAGAGAAAGGGAAATGAAATAAGTGTCGCTACATGTGAACAACTGTTAAGTCTAGGTGGTGGGTATATGGATTTTCATTTTGTCCCTCTTGCTACTTTTTATTTGTCCATTTTTATAATAAAAGTTTTTTATTTTTTTACATAGTCCTTACCTCATAGGTTTGTTGTTAAACTTTCCTAAGTTAGTACATGTAAAGAACTTAGTCTTTGGTGTACAATAAGTAGCCAAGAAACTTTGACTGTTATAATGATTATTTCATATAATCCTCTCAACATCATCCAGCAGGTCATATTACCCCATTTTACAGATGAAGCAATTGGGACCCAGGGATAGCAAGTAACTTGCTTAGTCACACGGCCTATTCTGGAACACAGGTTTTCTCTTTCCTAATGTTCTTTCTCTCACACTACTCTAGCACTCAGAAGTAAAAATAAAACTCATGTTTTGGTTTTTCTGGGCATCACTTCTTTAGCCTCCTTTCCCAATCAGTTGGGGACACTGAGCAATGGAAATAATGAGCAGTATTGAGCTAGCAGTTCTGCAACTGGGAGAACCCAGTGTGCTGGCTGTCACACCTTTTCCCTCCATCAGGCTCAGTCTCCCAGAGTCAAAGAGGACATTCCAGAGGAGGGGTAGGATTTTTTTTTTTAATGGGAAAGAGGACCCCTGGCCTGATGGCTAAATTGTGTCCACAGATGCCATCCGTGGGTCTTTAAGCCTCAAAAACCTTTCCACTTCCATGTCTGGAGTCTATATCTGCAAGGCCCACAATGACGTGGGCAGTGCCCAGTGCAACGTGACCCTGGAAGTGAGCACAGGTCAGTTAGGGGTAAGTGTGGTTAGGGAGAAGGTTGGTCGGTGGTGGGGTGGGGTTGCAAGAGAGGAAGAGGCCTCTCATTGTAACAGGGCAAGGAACTCGTCCTGGTCAAATGTTTGTACAAATGTTTGGTCAGTGACCGTTTTCTGCCTGACAGCCACCTCTTCTTAACAGGGAAAAAGAGGACATGTATATGGTGGCAATGGGGTAGTGGTATTGGAGAGGGGTCGGGAACAGCTGGGTGTCCTTCTCTGACACCAAGGTTTTTGCAGGGCCTGGGGCTTCAGTGATTGCAGGAGCTGTTGTGGGCACCCTGATTGGATTGGGGCTGCTGGCTGGACTGGTCCTCTTGTACCAACACCGGGGCAAGGCCATAGAGGAGCCTGCTAACGATATCAAGTAAGTGTCTCTGGTCTCTGCCCAGACCCAGCTCTCCTAGCTCCTTTTACAGAGGCTGGGAATTCAGGCAGCACTCATCTAATGGAAGGGTGGGCAGTGGCTGAAACACCATTCCTATGGGCAGATTTTAAGGGAGAGGAGAGATGACAGGGGCGGAGGGGAGAATAAAACAAGGCATGTAGATTCTCTCCCCCTTCCAGTTTCTGACTTCATTACTTCTTTGATGACTAGGGAGGATGCCATCGCTCCCCGGACTCTGCTGTGGCCCAAGGGCTCAGACACAATCTCCAAGAATGGGACCCTTTCCTCTGTTACCTCGGCACGAGCACTCAGGCCACCCCAAGGCCCTCCTAGGCATGGCGCATTGACCCCCACACCCAGCCTCACCAGTCAGGCTCGGCCCTCACCAAGGCTTCCCAGGACAGATGGGGCCCCCCCTCAGCCAATATCCCCCAGCCCTGGTGGGATCTCTTCCTCTACTCTGAGCCGTATGGGTGCTGTCCCTATAATGGTGCCCACCCAGAGTCAGGCTGGGTCTCTGGTGTGATGGCCCAGACGTTTTTGGCAGAGCCACCTGGTTTATCGCCTTCCTACAGGGATCACTATAGGGTTCACCCTAGCACTGAGGCCTGAGTCTGGGAGGGTGGCCACCTTCCAGATCTCCAGTCCTCTGCCCCCGCCTGTCTTTATTATGGGTAAACTGGGTCTCAGTTAAGACCCAGACTTCCAGGAAGTCGAAGAAGAGGAAATGGACCTGGAATTAGGAAGCGCCTCCATCTGCTCCTGGGGCTTCCCTGAAACTGCAGAGGAATGCTGCTGAGATTGGCTACCTCCTCCCGCTCCCACTGGGTCTGCCGGTCAATGAGTCCTCCAGGGCCCCTTGACCTGTACCCTGCCCCTATCTAACACCATCCTTCCCTCCCTCTCCAGCTCCCTGCATTAATATAACCTGTCCTGCTGGCTTGGTTGGGTTTTGTTGGGACAGGGGATAGGGAACATACTTGTTAAACTAAGTTGAAAGGCTTGGTTTTGTTTTTATTTTACAAATTTCAATAAAGATACATTGTGTTTGTATGGAAAGTAATAGTCAAATCACCTTTTCAAACTTGGAAATCCCAAGAGAAGTTAAGGATGACGCAAAGAGGATCCCTACCTCGGCTGCATACCCAGGACAGCGTCTCCACACAGCCTCTGCCTTACTGGCTCAGGACAGCTCTGCTACAGCTTTAAAAGGGTCATTTGCTGTCAGGTGGCCTGGGAGAGGCACAAAGAGCCTGAAGCCACTCTGAGCAGCAAGGGGATGTAATTGGTGCACGTTCTGCTGGAGCCTGAGTGCCTTGGGCTTGGGGGTGTGTGTGTGTGTGTGTGTGTGTGTGTGTGTGTACTTTGTCTCCTGTTTCCTCTTCAAGGGCTGGAGAAGGAACGTGACGGGGGCTTCCCTCTCTCGGGACCACCAAACGCTTAACAAACACATCTTGCCCAGCCAGCAGTGCCCCTCTGTGCTGCAGGAGAGCGGGGTGTAGGATATGGTGCAGGTGTATGCCCCAACGCCGCCCTGCCCTTTCCTACCAAGTGTGGGGGCTCCGCCAAGTATCGGTTTCTCTGCCCATCAAGGGGAGTGACTCTGGGAGTGGGGAGGAAGCTGTAGTTTCCATGGAGACTCCTACCTCCGCCAGTGGTGATAAAAGTGCCAGAGAAGGGATCTCTTGAGTGAAGAGGAGGGGCCTGGAAGGAACAAGAATCTCTGTAAGGGTCAGAAAGGGTCTGCAGCCTCAAAGTGGTGATGTCCTCTGCCAGGTCCCCGGCTGTCCAAACGCCTACCTCTTCCTCCAGGAACTTGCCCTCCAGAGCTGCAGTTCTGACTCCTTCCCTTCAGGTGCTCACGCCCAGCCCAGCCCTTTACCAAGGGCCTGACAGCTCCAAAAATTGAGGGGAGGAGGACGGAAAAAGGGAGTAGGGCTAGTGTGGTGCCAGAACTGTGCCTGGAGGAGGGAGAGGCGTTTCCTTACCCGTGGGGGCCGGCCTCTCGCCTTGTTTGCTCTGAGATAGCCAGTCTCGCCCCTGCCCAGCACGAGGCGGCTGCCCTGTGGGCGCCACCTTCCCTTCCCTGACCGGGACACCAGACCACAGACGGCGGGACGCGGCCATGACCCGACTCCTGAGGCCTTTGCTGTGCGGGGCGCTGCTGGGTTTGATCTGCATGACTGGTGAGGAGGGGGCTCGGACCGCAGTGGGGACCGCGCGAGGCAGGGGAGGGGCCGTCCAGGATCCATAGGGCGAGGACGGGGCGCGGAAGCCGGTCGGCGAGTTGGGCCTCCCCGGGAGAGCTGAGCCACCGCAGTACCATTGTCCTCCTCTCCCCGACAAACACACCCTCATACCTGGCCAATCTCGTCCTTTCACCCACAAAATCTGACCGCGACGTGGGCTCCTCCCTCCCGGAACCTCAGGTTTCGAGAAGGGTGGCGTTGGGGGAGGGAGCCCCCAGTCTCCATGTGGGAGCCGGGTGGGCCAGGCTCCAGACGGACGGGATTTGGGGCTCGGCCCAGCCCCCCTGGCCGGCCGCCTGAGCACCCTTCCCTGTGCATCCCCAGACCCGGGACCAGCCGTGGAGGTGCACGTACCTGCCGAGCCCCTGAGCACGCCCGTGGGAAAGACCGCGGAGCTGACCTGCAGCTACAGCACGTCGGTGACAGACACCTTCGCCCTGGAGTGGAGCTTTGTGCAGCCTGGGAAGCCCATCTCTGTGTCCCAACCCGTGAGCTGAGAGTGGGGGCGGGGGGGCGCCTCCAGCCTGTGGCCAGGTTGGCCTGTAAAGGCAGGAACAGGGGGCCTACCCAGGATGAGGGCACAGGGACCGGAGGATGCATTGGGGATCAGTATCCTTGGATAACAAATAAGTGGACTCTTTCTAGATCTTCTTAGGCCCGCCGTCTGTGTAACCCCAGATCATGTATGGCTCTGTTTACCCACCTTCCTTTCCCATATGCAACTCCCCTGTGTTAGGGCAGTCCCAGCTTTAGTTAATGATCCTATTGATGCTCAGCTGTTGTGAGTGAAAGTAGGATAAAATATTGCCCCTTCCAGGATTATTATTATTATTTCCAAATTGAGAGCCATACTTAGCTGAAAGCAATGAATCTAGCTCATTTAGTACCTAGGAAGTGATGGTATTTAGAGACAGACCTTCATGGTCCTGGCTACAGAGTATCAGAGTCCCTGCCTGGTGTAAGGAAGGGGCCCTTTTGAGAAAGGACTGTAGAGTTGATGCCAGGCAGGAAAAGATGTGGATGTGTGTCTCCTGCTTCTCTCCAGATCCTGTACTTCACCAGTGGACATCTGTATCCAACTGGTTCTAAAGCAAAGCGGGCCAGCCTGCTTGAGAATCCCCCCACAGGAGGAGTGGCCACCCTGAAACTGACTGATGTCCGCCCCTCGGATACTGGAACCTACCTCTGCCATGTTAACAACCCACCAGATTTCTACACCAATGGGTTGGGGCTAATCAACCTTACTGTGCTGGGTAAGGCAGGCTGGGGACCCACCAGCCACCCAGATACTCTAAATGATTGCAGTGGCCCTGCTAAATCTCCCTCCCCCACCATACCCTGACTTCCAGCCCAAGCACACAACTACACTGGGGACCCCAAGGGAAAGTGCCTCCTATCTACAGAGTCTTCTAATCCAGGTGGTCACACTCCTGCTTCACCCTCCTAAAGAGTGCTCCTCCCTGTCCCCAGTAACAAAAGTCCCACATGTAGGGGCTGAGTCATATCCCCAACAGCTCCATCTTTGGAGGAACCTCCCCTTTGTAGCTCAGATTCTGTCCCTCCCCAGGTCAGTGACAGAAAAGGGGAGTGGCCGTTACAGGAACAAGGGCCCCTCCCACTAAGCATCAGCTCTGTGTTCAGGGCTTCCATCTTACCCCACACTAGAGCCTGCTCAGAGATGAGCAAACAGAAAAACAAATAGGCTGGGGATGGATGTTTAGATGGGACAGAGAAGACTTAGAAGGTGGTATATGAGTTCATTCAAATACCTGAAAGGCTGTCTTGTGGTGAGAGTTTTTTTCATTTCTCTTTGTGGGCCCAGAGGGCAGGAATTGGGACCAATGGGTGGATATTATATTAACAGAGATTGTGGCTCAACATGAGGAAGATTTTTCTAACAATCAGAATTTCCAGTAGTGGATACCATTTCCTGGGGATGCAGTGGTATGTGAACAGAAATGGACCACTATTTGGTAGGCAGATTGAAGCAGGGAATTCAGCACTTAATGGGTGTGGGGTTAGAAGATTGCTAAAGTTCTTTCTGTGATTTTTGCAGTGCCCCCCAGTAGTCCCTTGTGCAGTCAGACTGGCCAAATCTCTGTGGGGGGCTCTGCTGCACTAAGGTGTAGCTCTTCCGAGGGAGCCCCCAGACCAGTGTACAACTGGGCCCGCCTTGAATCTTCTCCTACACCTTCTCCTGGCAGCATGGTGCAAGGTAAGGGCCAAGGGCATCGAGGAAGGGACTCAGGACCTGGGTAAATCTGGTCTCTAAACCCCACACACCCACAGTACCAGCTCCATGCCTGTGGGTATGAGACAGATGTTATACTTTCTCCCTCCTTCTTTGGTTCCTGCATTGGTCCCTCCTGTCTGTCTTCCTGCACAGTCTGTGACTGCATGGTTCTTGCAGCAGCATTTCTCAAGCTAAATGTACTCCTGATATCCTGGAAGAACGTGGAAGGCAGGGGCATTCTATGATTCCCATTTGTCTGTTTTCGGGGGATTTCTTAAGGGTCATGGATCATTTTCTAACTTCCTAGAGGGAAAACTGAGGCAGAGTAGCATAAATTGTCTTGAATCCTTTGGCCAGTTTCTCTAGAGAAACCATATAACTGGCTAAGAGCTTTGGCTTCTCAGCCCCCTTGTGCTGGCTCCAGTGCCCTGTCTCTTTCCCCAACCCCAGCCAACCCAACTGTCAATCCACAGAGCCCCCAGATCACCTCCTGGTGTGTGTGCTCTGTCTTCAAAGGGAAGGCGAGCAGCCTAGAAAAGCACTTGGTCAGCTTAGAACCACCCCAGAGGATAGTTTCTAGCAATGAAGCCTTTTATCCCCAGTCAGGAACCTGACATCAGCCAGTAAGCGCCCCACCCCAATTCCATTACCAGTTTCTGAACTCTGTGTGTGTGAGAGAGAGAGAGAGAGAGAGTGTGTGTGTGTGCAGTCTCCCCCTCCCCTGAAAAGGCAACCATATAGGGTGGGTGGAAAGAGCACAGAAATTGCAGTGGCTTTTGGCTTGGCACTTCCTCTCTGGGCCACTCCACACAATTACTTTCCTTCTCTGAGCCAGATTTCCTACTAATAAAATGAGGTTAGTCCCTTCCTGACAGGATGGTTGTAAGGATGAAATGAACTATGCTTTCATCATAGTAGGTGCTCACTGAGTCAAAGGAGTGATAGAACACTTCCTCTTTACCCTTTAGATGAGGTCTCGGGCCAGCTCATTCTCACCAATCTCTCCCTGGCCTCCTCGGGCACCTACCGCTGTGTGGCCACCAACCAACTGGGCAGTGCATCCTGTGAGCTGACTCTCTCTGTGACTGGTAGGAATGCTGGCCAGGGGCCAGGTTGGCAGGCCTGGGGTGTGGATGCTGCATGAAATTGTCTGAAGGGCCAAGGAGGATCTGCAGTTCTGAGGACCCTGTGTATCCTTAGACCCTTCCAAAGGCCGAGTAGCCGGGGCTGTGATTGGGGTGCTCCTGGGAGTGCTGTTCCTGTCCATCGCTGCCTTCTGCCTAATAAGGTTCCAGAAAGAGAGGAGGAAGAGGCCTAAGGAGACATACGGGGGTAGTGACCTTCGGTGAGCAGCAGGGTGGGGGTGTGTGCAGAGAGGGAGGAAATGGCTTGGGTAGGGTAGGTGATGTCAGTCCTCAAACTCTGACATCTTTGGGGTGTTTGGGTAAGGAGTGCTGCTCAGCCCTGGGATTTGGTGGTGAGGGTGGTAGTGTAGCCCGTTTGAGTGTGAACAGTATACAGGTGGAGAGGTTGGCTCACAAACTGCCCTCACACTCTAACTGAATTTCCACTGCTCAGTTTTTATGGCCTTTTCTACATCAACAGGATGTGGATGCCAGGAGTTGGATTTGTCCTGGGCACTCAGCTAAGTTTAGTTCTTCTGTGTGGGGCAGCAAGGAGAGGCCAAAGCTGCCTTTCTTATTCACTTCAGCTATTAATTGTGGGGTCCAGAGTAATATTTCTCCAAGCGTGGTCCTCTGATTATCCAGACAGAAATCATGGGGAGCTTGTTAACATTCAGATTCAGGCCACTCCCTACCCATCCTGAAGTAGAATACTTGTGTGTGTTTTGGGGGGTGATGGGGCCTGGAATCTTCATTTCAACCCAAGTTCCACAAATGATTCTCAGGTGTGGTAAAGTGTAAAAGTCCCTGGGTTGGGTGTGAGGGGGTCCTCTGAGGGATGCCTCCAGCCTTTACTGAGAATGTGCTTACATCTATCAGAGAGGACGCCATGGCTCCTGGGATTTCTAAGCAAACCTCTGTGAGGGACGATTCCAGCAATGAGCTCCTGGAGAGGCCCCCCTCTGCCAGCACTGTGACGACCACCAAGTCCAAGCTGCCTATGGTTGTCTAATTTCCCTCCTGATCCCTAAGGGGTAATATCAACAATTAAAAAACCTTTGGGTACCATGTTGACTTCCTCTTCATTCTGCTGGTATAGCAAATTCCTCAAGGCGGCCCAAGGAGTATTACCAGTAGAGGAAAAATGGGTTTAAAGTTCCAGAGGTGATGTTGTATGCGGAAAGTTTGGTTGGCTCCAAAGGGTAAGTTTTAACCGAGGTCCCTCTCCTTTGCCCCCCACCCCACCCCTACATTTTGGTTTGGTCAAAGGAGACTTGTTCAAATTTCCAGCGGTGGCCCTTTGCACCCAAGCACCCTCCCCTCTGGCACCCTTGGAACACTTGGACATTCCTCTTTATTGTTCACATTCCAACCCAGCACAGTCACATGCACACACGGAGATTAAAAAACCTTCCGGCCGCAGCCCCAGGAGCCCGGCGGGCTGGGGCCAGCAGGGCAGGGGTGGGGCCACGGCAGACCCCTCCCACCGAGCCTCCCGGCGCTCGGCGTTTGCATAACAAGAGAGCTGCGGAGGGTGACTCTCGGGGTGCGCTCGGGAGAGGGCAGGGCGCATTACAGGCAGGCTTGGGGTAGGGTGTAAAATAGAAACTTTCCTTCCCATCCGAGCCAGGGCTATCCGATACCATACAAACCCTTCTCCCCTCCTCGCTCCAGATCCAGAGTTCTGGGGCTGGGCAGTAGCGGGAACAGCACGAAGACAAAGGGCGCCCCCTTTAGCTGAGCATGGAACGAAAGGACTTTTTGTTGTTTTAAGTGGTTGTCCTCGGGTAACGCAGAGGCTATGGCGCCCTCCGCGGTGCGCGCTGGGGAGCGCAAGGCTGCAGTGGCAGCTGCATGCTGGTGCGGGGAAAGGGTCGAGCAGCAAAGAATGACGACTGGGGAGCGCAAGGTTTAGAGCGAGGGTGGGGAAGAAGGGCTATCCGGGACCGTACTAGAATAGAGAACTGAAAGGGCACGGACTTAAGAGAGTCCTCGACGGAGCTTGCTTGGGACAGGGTCTCTGGGGACGCAGGGAGGCTCCTGAAGCTGGCAGGTTGGTGGGAAGGAGAGGGTCACAAACACGGCAGGGAAGTCTCGTCACTGCGAAGGGGACGCGGCATCCATCTCTCCTCGGGAACTGAGGACAGAGAAGGTCTGAGCACCTGCCCTCTCCGGTACTTCCTCTCCCCCTTCCTTACCCCTTCCTGGACCGAGACACCAGGGCGTGAGCGCCAGGAGTCCCCAGGCACCCCGAGCCACTGAGCTGAACCGAGCCGCGGGCGGTTAGTGTGTGTACCATCGTGCTTAGAGACCCCCCGCCAGGCTCGGGTAGCCAAACGGGGTGTCTGCGTATCTGTGTTGGCCCAGGTGTGCCCAGCCAGGTCGCAGCCAGCCTCTGGCGTCTTGATGTATCAGAAACCCCGCAGGCGCAGGGTGTCTTTTCCCCGGCTGGGAGGGGTGAGGGCGGGCAGAGGGAAGGAGGTGGGGACTGGGTCCTTTTCTCCCACTCAGGGTTCCCACCCCGCCGCTTCGGTATCGTATTCATTACCTTCAAAAATGCTCAATTCTTCGGTCCGGGGGTGCAGAAAGGAGAGTGGAGAAACAGGTGAGCTCTCGGACCGCAGCGTTCGCAGCTCCCCCACCACTTCCCGTCTCGGATTTCCAGTACCCCAACCTTAGCTCCCCACACCCCTCTACACCCCCAGACCGCCCTGTCTTCCTTGCTCCTTCCGAGGAGGAGCAGGCGCTCTTAGCGGGTCCCGGGACTGGGAAAGGACCCGCTCACCTGGCCTAGTCACCGCTGGGGCCGCCGCCCGCGCCTCCCCTGGCGCCCCCAGCTCCGCCCGGCCCTCCGGGTCCCGGGCCCTTCCGGCCGCGTTCTCCGCTCTTGATCTTCTTCCGCGCCATGTGGCCCCGGAAACTCGCCTGGATTTTGGCAGCTGCAGCATTGGCACCAGGATCGTCTAGCGGGATGTCTAGAATGTCGTCGTCAGGCTTGGAACAGGCGCTCTCCTGGGGGTGGGGCAGGGATACCTGTGGGGTGACTGGGCCAAGACCCCGCGAGGGTAGGATTGGAGTAGAGCCTTGGGGGTTGAGACGAGGGCGACGCGAGTGGGAAGTGCAGAGAGGGCGTGGAGAAGGGCTAAGGCTGGGTGGGTGCGCTGGTGTCTGTGTCCTTCCTGGGCAGGGGCAGGCAAAAAGGAAAGTTCAGGTTCAAGTGGACACAGTTGTGTTCCCAACTCAGGAAAAAGTGCATGCTGGGATGGGATCCAAGATAGCCATGCAAGACAGCCAGAGAGCCCTGAGTGAGCCAAGGGCCCAAGCCATTAGCTGAGTTGAGGGAGCAGCAGAGCTGACTGGAGGGGGGCTTGGAGGAGCCAAGTGAACAACAGCAGGCACTCCTGGATGTGGCTGCCTCTTCCCAGTCCTCAGAGGTACCTGCAGCTCAGAAGGGCCCCTTCTGAAATCAGGATAATATCTACCTCTGTGGGTTGTGGGGAAGAATAAACATGATATGCATAAAGTTTCTGGCACAATCTAGTTGTTCAATAAATAGTAGCTATTACTATTGGGTTGTCAGAAAAGTCATGACGTATTTTTTTCTCTGTTTTTGTTGCAATAATGCGTCATGACTTTTCCGACAACCCAGTACAATTCTTTTGAATAATTTGATGTGAAATAGCTGTTTTTGTAGACTAAAAATGGTCATGTAAAAACAATTTCATATGTTTCAACCTAATAATAATGAGACCCGCCCCCATGCCCCAGGTTTGTTTCCCCAGCCTGCCCCAGCTGAGAGTAGAAAGGGACAGGGAACTGATGGTACTGATTTCAGAGACAAGGCTCTGGCATGGAGAGGGCCTCAGCTCGAACCCGGGTTGCTCACAGTGTTAATGCGGGCTGGGATACAGATTATGCAGTCAGAAGGGCATTTCTCCTTTGGTCTGACCCCCTGGCTTCTAGGAATTTGCTCTCTTTTTTTGGTCTGAAGACTTCCACTGCTTTCACTGTGTTTTGCTTCCTGGGCATGAGATGACCAAGGTCTCACATAGTCATTCAGTTCTACTCATTTTCCCATCCAATTCACAGAAGTCGGATGGGTATGAGTGGAGCTTTAGCATCACTACCCCAACCAGGTTCTGCCCCAGGAGCACAGGTTTAAACCCCAGATGCCTAACCACAAGTTTACAAATGCCTTCCCTCCTCGCGCTTCCCAAGTCTGCCCTCTTTTCCCGGGTTTCAGAATTCTTCAGTGTGTGCTCAAGATGCCCACAATTGAGTTAAATGCAGTTAAAATGAGTTATCAAGAGACCAGTATGATTGTGGAGGGCCCAGAACACTTTTTGTCTTTCCCTGGTCTAGTGCTCTCTCCCTGACATCTTCTTATTCCCTACCTATAAACCAAAAACAGCGCTTTTTGGTTCCTTGATTCTCAGAGCTCAAGCCTTTCTTGGAGCATTCCTAGGGAACAGGGAAGCTTCTCCTCAAAAGAAGACAACGATCAAAGAGACCGTTCCTGACCCACCTCTCCTCAACCTGCAGCTGTGGAGGTTGAGTGGGGGCAGGGGTTGCTATCCCCGACCACGACCACGCTAAGACCCATCTGCTGTCACCACCCACCCCAGCTGGATCCAGAATGGAAACCTGGAGGAACAACAGGCAAAGCCACCTCCAACACACTGCTCCTCCCATAGAATTGGCTCCCTCTCCCTCCAAATGAGCTGCTATGTGGTCTGTCCACAGGCAGAACTGGAGGAAGACTGAAAAGAATTCAGGAAGGGTCATGGTGCCTGGGCTAGTGCCTTCCAAAACCAAGATTGGATGGTGAGAGCTCCGTATGAACTGGAGAGCTTCTGGGGGACTGGTGGGCATGGAAGTGGAAAGTGCGCTGGTGAGCAAAACAGAAGCCATAGCTTCTGGTCCCAAATGTGCACATCACTTCACCTCTGAGGGACTCAGTTTCTTCAGCTGCAGCTAGAACTTGACCTAGATGAATAGTCTCCTTCAGCGCCCAAATCCTAAACGCTTTAAGAATTATCCTTGCCTACTGCTTGTTTTAGGTTGGGCCCTGTGCTAAGCGTTTTGTATATATTACCCCATTTAATCCCCATTTTAGAGGTCAAGAAACAGCCTCAGTCATTGTCTAACTTACCCAAGGTCACAGAACTGACAAATAGCGGTGGGATTCAGAAACCTGTGCTGTTAACCACTGCCTCAGGGCGGGTAATTATTTCTATGAGTTCAGCTGGACCAAGTCAACTAGACTAAATAAACGAAAGGAGTAGGATCCACCCCCTCCCCACCAATATTTCTTTGCCTTTCATATTAAGTCATATATATATATATATATATATATATATATATATATATATATGACTGTAAATCAGCAACTGGTACATTTGAATTAACAGCTCTCTTTTTTTAAAAAGCTGATCTGTTTTCTTCTTCTCATTTCTGTTTGAGCCTCCTTATCTAGGTGAAAGAAGGAAATAAGGCAGTACCAGGTGTTTCCCAAACACCAGGTCAGATGGTCAGCAAGGAGAGCCCAGAACTAACGATGAAGAGGGACCTGCCTCTCATCTCTCAGATGCATTGTTCTCCCCACACCTTCCAGTTCCCTTCCAGCACTGAGTGCAGCCCTCCACAGAATGGGGGTGGGGTAGGAAGATGCTCATTTCCAGCCTTGCCCCAACCCTCTGCCCTATCACCCCTTCTCTCTCTTCTTGCCCTGCTGTGCACTCTGACAATGGTGCTGTCTCTTGTTCAGCCCTTTAGCCCTGATGACCTAGGACAGGGCCTGAAAGGGAAAGGCTTGTATGTACAGAATACACTGGAGGAGGTGTCCCAGGGCCCTGGGCCACTGGGATAATTGTGTATTTCCCTCTTCTGTATTTTTTGGTGGAAAGATTCTCCTTTCCTTAGGGAACGAACACTCATTCCAACCATGCCTACCGATTATTCAGTTTGGCTTCCTAGGCACTCAAGGCATGGTCAGGGCAGACCAGGGCCTACAGGCATGGACCCCAACGTTCTACCCTAATTAACTCTACCCTAATTTGCACCATCGGAGACAAATTACATTCCTGGCCTCCTGGACTCTTTGCTCTCTCACCTCTTTCCACTGACCATGCCTCCTGCCTTCCTTTCCCATCATTGTTACCATCCCAGCAATATCGCCGCCCCCCATACATATACAGAACCTTCTATCCATTTATTTTCTCTACATTATAAAATAATGGAGCTCTTCAGTGAAGCCCAAGAACCTCCATTAAGAGCCCATTCCTCCTATCACAACCAAAAATGGCTTCCTGGAGAATAACAAACAGGAAAAGACTGGAAGTGTATATGTTATCAGGGTTTTCTAGGGGGGGTTGGGGGTTGGGG